AACCTAATTATCACTGAAATCAATCAGAGTCTTTTCATTGATTGAAACTGTTCATAGTTCAAAACCTGTATTTGTTATACTCTATGGACCAGATTCTTATATACTTACTCATATTTAACCCCTTGCTCTATGCACAGCACCAATGACTTCACTGAAATCATCCCAGGACAGCAAAAGATGAATACTTATCAGAATCTGGCTATATGATAGAAGGCTGTAATGACGACTAATGTTGGAAATAATATGCTAGATTTGTGTTGCTGTCTCCAACAGCTGACTATCTATAGTAAATAAAGCAGTTGGAGTAAAATCATAGTTTTTTCAAACTTCTGGTTCAGATGAAACCTAGGGTCACCATTTCCCAACTTCAGTGGCAAAAAGGAAGAGGGTAATAATTAAAAAACAAAAAAACAAAACAACACCTAATCTAAGATGGTAAGAAGAGGAGAGGAACAGGTAAATTAACCTTTTTTTTTTCTTCTTAGTGGGCACATCTACACAAGATGTTTACTGCAGAGCTGGTTAATTAGCTCCCCAATAAAATGTTATCGTCTACATGCTTGACCCTATTAGGTCACAGTAGACTAATAAATGCTGCCGCAGGGTAGTCTGGCTAAACACAAGTAGTACCCTGCAGTGCAATTCTTCCATGAGCTGCAGCACGTGTGAAGAAGGTGACAGGGCTGGCTGAGGCATGAGAGTGCTTCAGCATGAGGGCTGCCAGCTAGCCATGCATTGGAGTATCTTTGTACTGCAACCTTTTGCCCTGGCCTCTGCAGCCTGTTGAGCTGGGTTAGAGCAGCCCCAGGCTGGCAGGCTGCTTCAGGTCCCTGCTAGCCCAGGGCTGCTCTGACCAGACTCCATGTGCAGTGGGGAGTCAGGGGGGTGGGAGGAGACTGGCTGGGACAAGGGGGGCTGCACCTTCATGTCCCAGCCAGTTCTGCCCCACTCCCCACCAGCCACACATGAAGTATGATCAGAGCAACCCTGGGCTGGTAGGCTGACACCTGCCCCCCACACAGCTCCCCTGCCAGCCCAGGCTGCTCCAACCAGATTCCATGTGCTGCACCCGAATAAGCTCCAGAGTTTTTTGCTCCTAGGCACACATTCAAATGGTGCACCCAGGAGCAAAAAACTCCAGAGCAATAAGATCCAGTTTATTCATGTGCATGAACTGCCTAGTACATATTAGACTCTAGAACAGAGAATTCTCAAAATACTACTATTCAACCCACTCTAGTGTGAAAGTTCATTTGAAGTGAAATTATTCTTAGAGGGTTACCTAGACAGCAACCATTCACCTCATCATAAATGTTCACCCTCATTAATAATGCCTAGAGAGTTCATGGATTCAGTAAGCACAAAGGTAAAACTGTCCTTTCCAGAGTACAGGAAATCCATGTCAGAAATTATGAGCCCAATTGTGGCTGTGGAAAGAAAGTTTATACTGCCCATTCTATACATTTTTACAAATTTAGGGCCCTTTAGTTTCTGAACAGTGTACCTCTCCACTAGAAATTATACTCCAAACTAACTGTTTACAGACGGTACCAAACTACCCTCCGATGATAAAGTCGGTCAGCCATTCTTGACCCTTGTAACATTCATTCAGCCATAACATAGAGGCAAGAGTCTCCATATTCTAATGCCAGACATTTAATTTAGGTAGCTTCTAAATGAACACTGCACTTAGACTACAATGTTAGCCTAAAACCAGCATTACTTTTCTCTATCTATGAATTAAGTTTCTCCTTGATAAATTTCTCCAATTAGCAGGAACAGGTTGTAGGCCAGTGACACTCATGGTAGGCTTATTTACACAGAAAAAATGACTCATATAAAATTATAACAGTAAAACACCCCATGTGGATGTTTACTGCAGGATATGAGTATTCACATGGGGAATTTTTACAGCATAAGTAAATGGCAAATTTCCTGAGGTGGACAAGCCCAAAATCAGAGGCAGCACAAGTGTTCTTGTTGGCAATATTTGCTTATCATAGATAGGCTGGCATGTAGCCTGAGGAGATGACTACCAAAGCTAAGAACATATTTTTGATCCACTAATACAAACAGTAACAAATAAGAGGGAAAGGTCTCCACATTGCTAAATGTACATATGTTGTGTAAAGACCAGTTTAGAACAGAGAGTCTCACTTTTAATTTATATCTACTAGGAAGGAAGTAGAGCCTACTCAGATGAAGCAGTAAGATACAAATAGGGAAAGAGAAAACAAACTCAGAAGAGAAAGAAAGAAAGAGAAGAATGCATTTTTAAGGAGCAAAAATTCATACAAAGAATTTCACAGATCTGGGTTAGAGCATTTGGTTGATATTTTCAAAACAATGCAGGGGATTTCACTGTTCAAGACATGAAAGGACACGTGGCTAACTACCATGCATCACACTAAAAACTGCAGATTAAAACAGAAACCCCAAAGACTCATTATCTGCAAGCAGGTGACAGAACTTCAGCTCTGTAAAGCCTGGAGATGGAGTGATCGCAAAAGCAGGTAGCAACTCTGCCAATTCTAAATTATTAACGATTTATTTTTCTCCATGCCTAGTGTTGTTCTAGCACCACATCACTGGGGCTACAAAGCTCTGTAAGCTCTTCACACCACACCCATCTGTGATGTTTAGAATGAAAACTTTTTTCTTGGATGCGCACCTAACATGGTGTGACAGACATTCATTTCACTAGTTGCAACACATCTCACTGTGTTCTTCTGTTCCCCAAAATGAGTCAGTGTACAGAAAGCATTCCATCTTTGGAACAACACTAACCTCTCTCTCTCCCCACCCCCTCTCTGGTTAAGGGAAAATATTACAGAAACATTACCAAATGCTTTCCTTCTTTGCACGAATGATCCAATCTCATTATTTTAAAGGTTTCTTGGATGGGAAAACCACGATACAACTAACTTTGACCTCTTCCTTTTACAAGTGTCGTCAACAGAGGTAGCCTTCTCATCCTTCAGCATATCAAAGATTTACATAGATTTTTGTCAATAGATTAATCTATTTTCTGATGCCATGAACACAAAACTGTTATTGCAGACTACCTTGAGGTAGAGGCCTAACAGGGAAGCTGGGTGCCCGAGGCAGTGGAAACTTCCAGCAGCTGGTGTGACCAGGCAGCTGCAACTGCAGCTGTTCTGTTTCTTTCCCTTCAAGTCAATGCCTGGGGCTGCAGCCCTATTGCCCCACCTTAGTTACACTACTGCCTTAAGGTGTCATTTCCTTGTGGTGGGGAAGGGCCTAAAAAGTCATTCAGTAACCAGGTTACACAAATCAGATTAAATCCTTTGCTAGAGCCAGTCATGCTGACTCTACAGTGAGAGACTGCGGGACCTGAACCTATTCAGCCTCCACAAGAGAAGGCTAAGGGGGGACCTGGTGACTGTCTATAGACTCACTAGGGGGGACCAGAGGGGTTTGGGGGAGACTCTGTTTCCCCTAGCGCCCGCTGGCATAACAAGGAGTAATGGGCACAAGCTGATGGAGAGGAGGTATAGATTGGACATCCGCAAAAACTACTTCACGGTTAGGGCGGCTAGGAGCTGGAACCAACTTCCAAGGGAAGTGGTGCTGGCCCCTACCCTGGGGGTCTTTAAGAAGAGGCTGGATGCCTACCTGGCTGGACTCGTTTGAGTCCCGTTTCTCTTTTTGGGGTTTTTTGTTGTTCTCCCGCCCTGGCGGGGGGTCGGGCTAGAAGATCTACTAGGTCCCTTCCGACCCTTAATCTATGAATCTATGAATCTATGTTTTGATTGACTTAAGGTGTAATTATAGTTCCTGTCCAGGATGCTGCACTGGACTTTATTATTGTATCTATCTGCCACCCAATATTGAGGCATAAGAGCAGCAACTTGGACAGGTCACAATGCTTAGAGGGAGAACTCTGCCTCAGATTTTGTTTCGAGTTCTGAGCCATCTGGAATTGCTTTCTGGGCTTTACACATTTAGGAAGACCAAGGGCTTCAAACCATAAGCTGAGCTGTGTTGTCCATCATGAGGAGGCTGCAATCTGACAGAAACTCAACAAGCCAAAGGGGAAGAAAGCTGCAGTAGAAATCCCTGAAAAAGCACCATAAAAAAGCAGAAAGCCTTGGTGGTCTACTGCATAAAGATGACGATGACAGGGAGCTTGGGTAGCATCTCTAGTGCCTGTGTAATTATGCTGATGTTCCACAGGAAGCCTTGGATGCCTCTAAGGTGATAATCAATAAGCATCCTGTGATCAGTTTTCTGAGCTAAGGGCTGAACTGTGAAAAGCTACTTTTGAAATATAGCAGATATTTGAGACCAAGAGGAGACTACTATGGTGGGGTAGGTATTTCCTTACGTTAGGATACTTGTATGTTTCTCTGAAACTTCCAATGCTGGCCACTCTTCAATACAATACATGAGTAGATAGGCCATAAATCTTAACCAGTACTACAATTCCCACAACACTCTGGAGGGGAACTATTATTGCCCTCTGAAGCTAATTAAAACAGGACTGGGTCTAGTACAGGATTAAATACTATAATTTAATTTGTTCAGTCTGACTGCTGAATACCTTTCCAGGCTCTTCCTGTTCTTCCCTGCAAATGATACATCAAGGAAGTAGTGGAACTAAGGTAGGGCAACAGGGCTGCAGCCCCAGGCTTTGACTTTGGTTGGGAAGGGAAAAAAAAGAGCTGCCACTGCAGCTATTTGGTCACACCAGCCCCCAGCACCCACCTTCCCTGTTAGGCCTCTACTTCATGGTAGTCTGCAGTAACAGTTCTGTGTTCATGGAGTCAGAAATGATGCTATCCTTTTTTTTTTTTTTTTAAGGATAATAAGGAAAACTGCCAATCAGCACTGACTCTCTGCTGTTGGCAGCATATGTGTGTAAACAGAGACTGCACAAAACAGAGACTGCACAATAAGAGGTCTTAATTAGGCTCCCATTAACTTACTCAATGAACTTTCAGTTGATTGTGCAGTAAACATGTAATGGTCAGACTTACCTGGGAGTTAACAAGACGAATGGTTGTCTTTTCTCCTACATCCTGCTGAAACCCTTTGGTAGGGGCCCCATTAAATCTCAAAACTGCATCATGGCCATCTGAAAGCAGTAAAAAGAGTTATCAAAAGGTCACTAATGGCTATTATGCAATAGAAAAGAAAATCCTCTATCGAAGGACTATTACAGATATAGCAAATAATTAAGTAGATCTAGTTAATTGTACCTAACTTTCCATGGTGAATAGTTTCTAAGAGCTATGCAGTTGGACTCATCAGGAATAGCAAAAGGTCAATAGCTTGCACAGTGCCATTTTCAGAGTTAAGTTGCCTGCTTTGTCAGTTTTTTAATCTCTTAAAAAAAATAGTTAGTGTAATCCAGAATCCATCAAAATGCAAAATAACCACACTTCTCCAGAATATGTCTGTACAAACTATCCTCATAGTGGTTTCTTAAAGGGAAACAATTGGAACTGGGTATGATGAATAAACCACTATGTCTTATCTGCCCTGAACTGAAAGAGGTGATTCTTACTACCCTGAGAACAAAATCTAAAAGCTATAGTATAAACCAATAGTCACAGAAAGTTGGGGTTGGAAGGGACCTCAGGAGGTCTAGTCCAACCCGCTACTCAAAGCAGGACCAGCCCCAACTAGATCATCACAGCCAAGGCTTTGTCTAACTAGGTCTTAAAAACCTCCAAGGATGGAAAGTCCACAACCTCTCTGGGTAACCTGTTTCAGTGTCACCCTCCTCGTGCAAAAGTTTTTCCTAATATCCAACCCAAACTTCCCTTGCTGCAACTTGAGATCATTGCTCCTTGTTCTGTCATCTGCCACCACTGAGAACAGTCTAGCTCCATCTTCTTTCGAACCCCCCTTCAAGTAGTTGAAGGCTGCTATTAAATTCTTCTCAGTCTTCTTTTCTCCAGACTAAATAAGCCCAGTTCCCTCACCCTCTCCTCAGAAGTCATGTGCCACAGCCCCATCACAATTTTCATTGCCCTCTACTGGACTCTCTTTGGACTTTTGGGGCCCCAAACTGAACACAGTACTCCAGATATGGCCTTATCAGTGCTGAATAAAGGGGAATAATCATTGATTACTACCATCTGAGCCCAATGCTCCACAGTTTTCTATCCACCTTACAGTCCATTCATGCAGCCCGTACTTCCTTAGTTTTCCTGCAAGAATGTTGTGAGAAACTGTATCAAAAGCCTTGCTAAAAATCAAGGTGCACCACATCCACTGGTCTCCCATGTCCACAGAGCCAGTCACTTCATCATAGAAGGCAGTCAGGTTGGTCAGGCGTGACTTGCCCTTAGTGAATCCATGCTGACTGTTCCTAAATCTCCAGGTATCCTGGTTTGCTTTGATAAAGAAAAAATCCCCAATTTTTGGATTTAAAAAAGTAACACAACATTCACATTTTTCCATTATTAAAATTAAACACCATTCACCCCCCCCCCCCCCGTATTGCTCGGACATGCAGGGATGAAGTCAGGAAGGCCAAAGCATACGTGCAGTTGCAGCTAGCAAGGGATGTATAGGAGAACAAGAAGCATTACTTCAAGTATGTCAGTAACAAGGAACATATGGGTCTCTTACTGAATGGGGGAGGCAACCTAGTGACAGAGGATGCAGAAAAGGCTGAAGTGCTCAATGTCTTTTTCAACTCAGTCTTCACAGGCCATTTCAGCTCCCAGACTACTGCACCTGGCAGCACAGTTTGGGGAGGAGGTGAGCAGCCAACAGTGGCAAAAGAACAGTGCCAGCAGATTAGGCACTATTTAGAAAAGCTGGATGTATATGAGTCCATGGGGCTGGATGGGATGCACCCAAGTGTGCTGAGGGAATTGGCTGATGCGATTGCAGAGCCACTGGCCATCATCTTTGCAAACTCACAGCTATCAGGAGAGGTCCTGGATGACTGGAAAAGGGCACGCATACTGCCTATATATAAGAAAAAGGAGGATCCAGGGAACTACAGACCAGTCAGTCTCATCTCAGTCCCTGGACAAATCATGGGGCAGATCCTCAAGGAATCTATTTCTAAGCACTCGGAGGAAAAGAACACAAGCAGCAGGGAACCTGGTTTTCTCTGATAAAAAAAATCCTCAAATTTTGGATTAAAAAAGTAACCCAAAATCCACATTTTTTCATGATTAAAATGAAACACCAGCCAATATCAGGGTGATTGAAGTCCCCCATGAGAACCAGGGCCCACAATTGGAAAACTTCTGCTAGCTGTTTGAAGAAAGCTTCATCCACCACTTTCTCCTGGTCTGGTGATCTATAGCAGACCTCCACCAGAACATCACCCTTGTTGCTCTCCCCTCTGACCCAAACCCAGAGGCTGTCAAACAGGCCTATCTCCAGTTTCATAGTGTGGCTCTGAGCAATAATATGGCTCTTTTACATAAAGTGCACCTCCTCCTCCTCTTCCCCCCGCCTGTCCTTCCTGAACAGTTTATACTCATCTATGATAGTACTCCAGTCATGTGAGCTCCCACCAAGTCTCTGTTATTCCAATCACGTCATAGTGCTGTGACTATGCAAAGACTTCCAGTTCTTCCTGCTTGTTTTCCAGTGCATCCAGGTACAGGTACCTGAGGTAACTAGTTGATTGCCCTGATTTCTTAGGAAGAATGAGACTGCCTCCCCTGTTGCTCCCTCCTACTTGCTGTTTCTCCAGGTCACCCACTTCCCCACTTACCTCACAGCATTTGTCTCCATCCCCCAGCAAACCTAGTTTAAAGTCCTCCTCACTAGGTTGGTGAGCCTGTCTGCTAAGATGCTCTTCCCCCTCTTTGTCAGGTGGATCCTGTCTCTTCTTGTCAATCCTTCCCTTTGTCCCCCACAGAAAGGAGTCTCCAACCACTACCATGCATTGCTTCTTCTTGGCAGCAGTTGTCTTGATTCTCCCTACCTTGGGGAGGCCTGTCCTGTCCTCCTCCACCAATGGGATGTGCTCCTGCCCTCTGTTCCTAGGGCTCTGTATCTCCAGATGAACTGCTGCAGGTGGAGATGAAGATTTCTGCTTGCTGCCAGGTCACAAGCTTCCACCTTCCACCTTCCACCTTCCTGGGAGTCCATGTCCTCTCCCTTCTCTAGCAATGCCTCTGGCAGTTGTTCCTCCACAGTCCCAGAGGTCTCCTTCAGCATCAAATCAATGAACTCCTCATGATGGAAGATGCTTTGGAGCCTCACCACCTCCTGTAGCTCTCGTCTGTTCCCTGAGAGACGCCAACAGGAGGCACTCCCCTGCCCAGTTGTCACCAGAAGGAACCTGCAAACCAGAGTCCCCACAGCTCCAAACCTGGACCTGGGTGGAAGCCTCAATGGTGAGGTTTCTGTCCAGGGAGGACCGCTCACAGGTGCAAGCAGAAGCAGAGGCAGTGGCAGTGGCTCTGACACTGCAATGTCCTCCAGCCATTTATTTCCCTGGGTCTCTTAATCTGTCTCTTCTCTCTTACTGCCCTTCTTCCAAGAATGCCTTCATAGAAGCTGGCTTATTTACTGTTCCTTGGCCCTGAAGGGTTTCTTTTTCCCTGCTTGGTCACACCGAGCTGAAAAGCTGTCCCCTCAGTTGGGAGTGGGGGAAGCAAACTAGCCTGCAAACTGACCAGTGAACTACCTAGAACAGGGATGGGCAAACTGTGGCCCATGGGGCCCCTAAGAAATTTGTAAATTAATATTAATCTGCCCCTGGCTGCCCGTCATGCAGCCCTCGATGGCTTGCTGAAACTCAGTAAGCAGTCCTCCGCCCAAAATAATTGCCCGGCCCTGGCCTAGAAATTGCTTGCCCTGTTTGCTGGCTCCCTCGTCTCCTTTTATTATACTATCTCACACCAAACATCATGCCTTCTGAACACGCAAGGGACAAAACAGTTGCCCAGTATTTATTACATACCTTCTCAAATACAAGTTGTTACATGCTTTTGGTTGTATTGTACTTTCTCTTCCTAGCTTTGCTCCCCTTTTCGTTCCAGCAGCACCTTTCTCCATACAATTGTTATTGATTGTTTGTATTGTAGAAAGTCCCATTCATGGTAAGGCTAGAGGGGTTGTCATTACAGTTTCCCTTCACTTTAAGTCGGTTCTGTAGATGCAAATTCACTCTTATGCAGTGACCCCTTTTACACCCAAAATTCATTATATGTGAGGTAAATGCATTATATGCAAGGGAATTCTGCAGGGGAAGGGCCGGGGGGAAGGGCACGGAGCAGCCCAGAGGCTGCAGGTAGGTGGCATCAGCCGCTCCTGAGGCTGCAGCACAGAGCAATTTGAAGGGAACTGTCAGTGGGTGTGGGGTGCAGGATGGGGTGTATGGCTCTTGCTGCTACGCGCACACTGGGATGGCTGCATGCTGGGGGGGCTATGCCAGGCCCTTCCTGGGGGTTTGCACCCCAGATCTACATACAAGACAAAGGCAGGCTGCCGCTGAGGGCTGGGGCTGATGGTGGCATCAGGCTTTCCCCAGCAGGGGGCTGGGCCCCACTGTACTTAAAGAGGGCAGCAGTAGCACTGGGAGGGAAGATTGGGGGTTATGGTGGATTTTGGGGTGGCTGCAGCCCCCCTCCCAGCACCGGTGCTGCCTGCCCAAAGTGCAGTGTGGCCCAGCTCCCCGCCCGGAAGAACCCAGCCCCAGCCCACATCGGCCTGCCCTCATCCTGTGTGCAGATCCAGGGGCACATGGCCTCCAGGAAGAGCCTGGCATAGCCCCCCAGCCCACAGCCCTCCCGGCGTTCACATAGCAGCAAGAGCTGAACCCCCTCACCCCCTGCACCCACTGACAGTTCCTTCTGCTTTGCTCCCTGCTGCAGCCCTGGAAGTGGCCAACGCCACCTGTCTGCAGCCACTGGGCTGTGCCGCACCCATCCGCACACCGCTTCCCCGAGCCCCAGCCCCACTCCCTTTCTCACCACCGTGGGAACCTATCCCTATTTGTTACCTTATAAAGTGGGTTCCCTTTATGCAAATTCAAGTTATGCACAGTTTTCCAGGAATGCATGTACAACTAAAACAAGGGAAACCTGTACACAGAAACACTACACTAACTGCATCTCCCCAGGGCTTAAAAAGCCTCGTCTACATAGGCAA